AACCAATCAATCAACCAACCAATCAACCAACTCAGCAAACCAACAACCAACCAATCAACTAACTCAACAAACCAATCAATCAACCAACCAATCAACCAACTCAGCAAACCAACAACCAACCAATCAACTAACTCAACAAACCAATCAATCAACCAACCAATCAACCAACTCAGCAAACCAACAACCAACCAATCAACTAATTCAACTAATCAATCAACCAACCAAATACCAAAAAGTTCAAATGGTATTATTCAATGGTTATTGTTTTCCTGGTCTCACTGTCTGTGCTGAGAGCGCTTGTTTTACCAGGGAAAACACTTCACACTCAGTCACAAAAACACAAAGCATTAAAAGGAACACTACATACTAAAAGAACCAAAAGAACCTCGTTGTTACCTTTAGATATTGTAATTAATTGTATATAGTTTTAAGAATTGTATTTTGTATTGTAATTGAATATATATTGCTTCTTAAGAATTGAATTTTGCACTGTTTATTCAGTTTTTAACTGCAAGAAGTGTTCAATAAACTTATTATTATTATGAACGTGGAGTCGATAGTACTTACCAGGTAGTATGATTCCCATGTATGGTTTGACGATAAGCCATTGTTTGCAATAATCTTGATCATCTAGTTTGGGTATAAATTGAAACTGTACTGGTACTTGTCCTGTGTTTGTGATGTCAATATAATGAGATTGCTTCTCCAGGAACTGGACGTTCTTGAACTTAACCTTAATTAAAGAGAAATAAAATGAAAATGGATTTTATCAATAATAGCAATAAATCAGTTAATTAATGATCAATATATGTCACCATTTCCTTTTTCTCAGTATTGAGCTGGAACGTGCCTTTCCCCCTGACCCTCTATTGCAATCCAGTGCATGTTCTTTCTAGTCTAACGGGTCTTTTTATTGCTGTTTTATCTGTGTACCCCAYGAAAGACCGCATGTCTTTTTTTGCATTATTATATATATTATATATGGTATGAAAACTATCATTGCGGCTATGAGGAATAATCCCCATACCATTGACATCAATCAATTAACTCCGCGATTCATTAAACAGCTAATCAGAGTGTTGTGAACAATCAAGTCTGGCATCACATTAATAGCCGATTTGCGTAAAGCTCAGTCAATTGCTCGTTTTCAACCATTCCCATGAGATTCAAAAGATAAAAGACCGGTGGCCATGTTGGAGGAATGAACAATAGATACTAATGAGAAATCCTTTGTTGAAGTGCATCCAAGATGGCCGCTGTGACGTATAGTGAAAACGAAGAATTGTGAAAAACTATTGTCTTTTCACGAACGACTGAGCTTTATGCACGGCGCCTCGTCTTGATTCCTTTGTGTGTGACTACCGAGGCAAAATTCGAAAGTCGGCTATTATCTTATCTTTCGTACACAGGGATCCCATTTCTTACCTCTGTTGAGCTGAGTTTCACTTGTGGTAAGTTATCATTTTCATGTCGGTCGAGCGTGCGCACAACGTCCTCGTACACTTGCTTTTCTTTTTCTCTATTTACCACTTTGATCTTTTCAAATACAAAAACAAGTTAAGCTAGCTTAAAGACCGAGGAATACGAGAAACCAAAACAACCCAACTTGTCACACAACCGTTGTAGAGTTCAAGGCTAGGGTAGATGGCTTGCGTTTTTTATCTTGTCCGAGGACTGGAAACTTGTCACGCAATGCACTGGGAACTTGTCACGCAATAAAAAAGACAGGTCGAGAAAAACGAGAAATGCTGGATTTCATCTGATGATAATCTTGAACAGCAACCATGTTGCGCGACAAGCTGAGCTTTTGTATCTTGTCGTTAAAATGGCAACTCGAAAGAATCGAGTGCTTTTGGATTTGGTTCAGTAATAAGATAGGCTTACCCCCACACCAAATAAAGTGCTAACAGGCTTGTGATCACTGATGCGCAGTGAATTATGACTACGATATGCTATCAGTTTGACGTTAGACCCACGGTATAACACACGATCACACCATGCCGGGGCTCTTGACTTCTCACTACAGAAAAATGAAAAGAAAGGAAATTGTAAAATCATAGTGAAACAAAACAACAACACAATGCAGATCACGAAGTTTATAATTTGTGGACTTCAGCCACTTTTCTCGCTTAGTTAAACTAATTTTGCTGCAAGCCAAGAAAGGGCGTAGCCAAACGAAAATAAGAACCGAGGCAATGGACTGCTTAGTGTGTTTACTTGTTTGTTTACTTAAAGTGATCAGAAATTACACGTTTCTTCTGTTTGAACATTTAAGTACAGACAGAGTGTGTGCGAGGCGAGTGCCTTAGTTCAACTCTTTCTGGCTGCGGTGTTGCCATGGAGACAAGTAAGTTCGCAAACCTTATTAGTTATGTTTGCGCGTCCACTTGGTTTTATACTAGAGAAGAGTAACTGCAAAGCTTTTCATATCACAACCAAGACGCAAATATCGTATTAGAAACTATCAGTAAAACTAACGTCTATAAAGTCTTCTTTTTGTCATTTTTAGTTTTTCGCTACCTAGAGAGTTATTTGAAGCTGATGAATATTGCAAAGGATCATGAGTTACTTTACCTCGAGTCCCAGTTATCAGTCCCTGGGTCATATTTATATGTAGGCTTAAATGTAATCGGACCCTCTTCGAATCCTACGAAGCATTTCTTGAGGTTTTTCTGGACGTTGAGCTGATCGTTTTCCAGTAACTTGTCCAAACGTCCCTTCTCAATGAGTATCTTGCAGCGTTCAGCGTCGATATCATTAACACGATAGTTAAGATCACCCAACCAAAATACAGCACTGCAAAGAAACATACACATAAGATATCAAAAGTAACCAACTAGGATGCAGCATGGTCGAGGCTCGACATAAGGAACATAAACCAATTATCGGGACGACATAATATACTGTGATTCCATCCTACA